TTCCCCGAAACTAGAACATTTTTCACGTATTTAAAAAAAAAAGCAGTTAGCTAGCATTATTAGTAACAGAGCTATGAATTTTTGAAAAATAAAGTAGTCTAATTTTTAATTGCTTATATCTCGATTAATTCTGCAATAAGAAAAAAATCCTTTGGCACAAAATTCTATCTCCCAAAGTACTACCTTTGTGCAAAATTAAAAAAATTTCTGAGAGATGACTGATCCGCTTCACGTGGAATAGCCTATATATATATATAATTGAATAAATAATATTTTATCATTTTTAATCAATGTTGAGAAAACAATAACAAGATGATAAACACTAAAATAACATAACAAATATCGATAACAAACGAATAAACATATGCCTATGTACAAAAATCTATTCGAGAATACTGAGACGCCTGGGTTATAAGGAAATTACTTCAAATGTTAATCATTGCAGAAAATTTGCGGATAGATATTTCCAATAGCACCCAAATACCAAGCGAGCAATGGATTCCGTCGCCAAAAGCTTTAAAAATTGAATTTCTCGTACATAATCGACGCGAAATGTATCCGACCCTGAAGAATGGGCGCTCACATTATGACATACTTGCAGCATTGAACCCAGGCCACTCAATAACGCTTGATATGCATTGTAAACCTGTTAAATATCAGATAAACTTACAATGTAAATGAAAAAAATATATAAAATGAAAGTTGAATTGATTTACAATAATGCAAAAACAATCTTGTCCATTACCAACATGTTACGATGAGATCGGCCGTGTTATAAATAATGATAAAGCATATGCTAAGAATACGATAAAATTTACCTCTGTATATGCCTGACACATTGCTTCGTAAAGAGTTTGGTGTTGGCGAATGTGAGATTCAAGCACTGGAATTTCACTGGGCAGATTACTAATCTCGCACGCTTGACTCCAGCCAGCTACATTATCGACGTACTGTTCCGCTTTGTGATGAAACACTACACTTAAACTAAGTACTGCGGTACGTTCATCGAGACCCGCGGCGAATTCCTTCCAAGCTCGATCCAGACGTCCCGCCACCGCTCGTACATGCCCAGCCGCGTAGTGCTGCGTCTCCAGCAATTTGCCAGCCATCGTGAGAATTTTATTTATATTCACGTAAACGTTCATCGAGCTCATTGTAAAATGTTTATGTTCTTCCTGCAGATTCTTGGCCAATTGATACGAACGGCCAATCTCCACATAACTAGCGAGAAACACTTCTCGATTGTGACAAATCCAATCAAACATCTTCTCGCAATCTTGTTCAAACAATCGCAGCTGAAAACACTGATCCAATTTCATCTTCTTGATGTGCCATAGTTGTAACAGATGCTGTTGGGCAGCATGCACAGAATCCAAATGTTGAATAACCAAGGTAGCCAATGCTCGTCCATCAGAATCTGTGCAACTCGCCGCGCCTTTATCAATACTTCCTCCTTCTCCACCGGTTGCTGTTGCACCTGAAAATACGTACATGCATTTATGTGTTTATTAAATTAAGCAATTTAAAGATTTTTATGTCAGTTTATATTTTTCTTTAAAAATAAAAAATGCTGGCTAACTATTGTTAAATCGTTGAAGCAAGCGTTGTCCAATAACTTCGATGTCTTCCACTGGGACTTTCAAGATTTTCTTTTTCATCTCATTATGCAAATCAATTCCATGCTTAGCTCCTGCAACATCGTCAGCAAAGTCATTTCGACTGAGATCTTCTTGCAAGTCATCTAATCGATCGAGAAGGTCTGCTGCCTGCCATGTAAAATCTTCTACAACTAATCTGGTGTCAATCCACTGAGCATGATCATACTGCAAGGATCCATCTAAATCTGCAGTAAGCTGAGAAGGATCTACAACTTTTACAAGAGCCTCTAAGCTGATTGTATTAATCTGAAATTAATATATTTTAGATTAATAATTTTATAAATATTTATATATAAATATAATAAAGCACATATAATTAAATATACAGGATGTTTCACATCTTAACTTTACCATCAAAATAATTAAAAAGGATGAGTTTTACAAAAAAATAATTAGACAAAAGAATTTTTTAAGGATCTTGAGAGCAATCTGATAAATGATTGATAAGATTTGTCCACATTGGACCCAGTTAGACCCAAGTTATTTTATTTTAATTACAAAGTTAAAATAGAACATCATGCATAATATAATAATTCTAATCTACTTACCTCAAAATTATACTTTTTCTGCTTACCCAATGAAGTTCTCTGTTTCTGCCAAAAATTCTCTGGTTTAATAAGAAAAGCTACGTGAACTGTACGATGAAAATGTTCATGTAACACCTAAAGATATTTATAAATTAATTTTATGTTCAATATTTACATGTAATTTCACATAATCAATACAACATAAAAAGTAAGCGACATTTAAGCGCAGCATTAAAAAAAAGTGTAACCTTCAAAATAGGTTTAACCGAATCCCACGTTGTACCACGCATATCCACAATCACAGTAAATCGCAGGCCCCTGGCTTCATCACTCGGGATGGCAAATAAATATTGAAGAAGACGTCTGTAATCCTCGGGTTTTGCACGTTCGCGTCTCGGTGTGCTTGGAAACAGAAGCACAGGTCCCCCTCTACGATCCCGTCCACCCGGTAGTATTGCCAAACGTTCTTGCAGCAATGGCAATACTTCTGCCGCTCGTGTACCATCCATTATTCTCACTTTGCATTAAATGATCATGATCTGTTTCCGTTATAATAGATAAAACAGATGTTTGTGATAGGCTTTCATTACTTTTTTTAGAACATGTAGTACAATTACGAAATAAAAAAAATATGTATACATATATTAATAAATAAAATTTTGTATTTATTTTTAAATAAAAATGATATGTGCCTTAATAAAAATAAGGTACATATAAAATAAAAAGCTATATAATTATAAAATCTAGCTTACAATTAGTTTTAAATATTGGCCACTTTAATATATTTGCTTTAGATTCTCAAGGCAATGTAAAAAAAGTAAATAAAAATGTGTATATATATATATATATATATAATATAAATCGTATACATAGGTGTATCTACACGCACACACACACACACACACACACACGCACACACACACACGCACGCACGCACACGCACACACCATACACACAAATATACATATATATATATATATATATAGTGCCATCACTTTTTTTATATTGTCTTTTTTATACATATATTTACAAACACGTGTGGGTGATGTATAAATACGCGTGCGCGTACACACTCGACACACACATAAATATATATTTTATGTATAATGTATATATATCATATATAAAATATATATTTATGTGTGTCGAATGTGTACGCGCACGCGCATTTATATATCACACACACGTGTTTGTAAATATATATACACATATATATATATATATACGTATATCATATATACGTGCATATAATAATGTACCGATTAAGGCCTTCGAATCCCATTCCTGCGACTAGCCACTGCTCCTTAATCGGAAAGCTCGCCACCGCGAAAGCGGAATGTGAGACGCGAAAACCGTTGTTACAGCAGCGTGGGAGTTCGCACGCGACGCGATACACGCGTATCGGAATAGCACGTAAGCGACGATCCGTATATCCATCCCTCCTCCTCCTTGTCGTCGTCCTGCCACTCCTTCCCCCTCCCTCTCGCCCCTGTTCAAATACTTGCGGCGTTCTCGTGTGACTCGGGCCACTCCGGTCACTACTCACCATCACTCGTGGAGAGTAACGGTATGGAGATGGCGGCGAAGAAATCTGGTAAACCGCGTGATAGTCGGGCGAACGCGACCAACAGAATGCCACGAGGACGAAGAGGACAATCAATCATTTCACCTCTCTAGATACAGTAGCCTGTCATGGATATATCGGCACTTGCACGATTCAAGCGTCCTAACTCCCGAGTGTCTCGATCAGTCTCGATGACCAGTCAAGAGACATTTGCGATAGACTCGCCAATGCGAACTGCATTATGTATAAATTGCATTGCATTTTAACGAGTTTTGCGAAACTCCCATTGGGACTCGAACGTTGCTTGCTGGCGCGCGTGAAAATCTTTTGTACGTGTGACAAACGGAAAACCCGTAAAAAGCGGCTCACCTGCAAAAAGCTCGTTCGTGATGACCTTAACGTCTTTTTTCCCTGTCGATGTATTAGCGGGTCCGAGTCACTCCATCGAATCGGCCTACCGTTCATATTGTCATTTTATCGGTGCTCGAAATCACGGTCAATCGTCATACGAATGGAATCCCGAAACTATCACTAGTGCCATATTCAAACGATGAAGCTCTTTAACAGCTTCGTTCACCAATACTGTCCAAGGACTCCAAGGAAACGGCACGAGTCGCGCGACTCCACCAGACTCCGCGAGCCGCGAGGCGTTACTGGCCTTTATGACAAGTTCGCAAGATTCGTATGTCGTTAAGGCGGATCCGTATCGTACGCGATCTATTAGCGAATTCGGCAGCTTGCACTAGTGCGCACTGAGTGCAAACTTTTTCAGTGCCGCACATTCGATCAATGCCCTCTGCCCCAGTGCCAAGAAATAGATTACATTGTTACCATGCGAGTTTTATGTTGTATTCGGCGACTAAAATTGCGCTAGTGCAGCGCTAAATTTGTGTTCGGTCAAACGAAATGAACTGAATGAGAGC